TAATATTTACGTTTAAGAGAATATAAAAGAGTTATAACTATAATAAAATAAACTAAAACTAAGGAAGAAATTATAAGTAAATTATAAAGATAATTTAAACTATTTAATTAAGTTAAGAGAAATTATAATAAGATAAAAGTAATAAGATAAAAATTACTATAATTAAGCTAAAAATAAAGAATTATCTTAAAGGTCTTTAATTAAAATAAGAATATACTTACCCTTTAAATATTAATAGACTTATAATTAAAAAGAAGACTCTTATTAAGATAGCTAAAATTAATTAAAAGAGAATTAAAAAGAGAAAGAATTAATTAATTAATTAAAAGAATATAATATTTCTTATAATATTTTTAATAATTATAATCTTATAATTAATTATAATAAATAGACCTACTATGCCTTAGAACCTAAGCCACCGTTACACTTACGTGTTTATACACCCACTGTATGTTAAAGAGCTAAGACTATACCTAGATAACCTCTTCGTAGAAGTCTATTACCTGCGAGTTAACCTTTAAGGGAATAGGGCGGCGCGGCTGCTACGGGGAGTCTGTGAACGCATTATTGGAACGGTTACAGGTCTAGCCTGACCTAGTGAGGGAGCTGGCCGGCGGCGGGGTATTCTCGGCGGCCTTGCGAAGAATATCGGTAAGTTACATGTTAGCGGTCATTATTAAGGCGGCCTTTTCTAAGGCCTTTAGCATGCTGGTGTCCTCGTCGTTAACAGGCGCTAATAGCAGTGACGGGTCCCAGTACCTACCCCCAATGCGCCGTACGACCACCTCTTGTACCCCCGTACACAACCCCGAGCTATCTTGAAAGTCCCCGGCCTGCACAATATGCTGTTTTCTCCAGTTGCTAACGGGTCATTGGTTACAGTACTCATGCGTCCAGAGGCACTTGTCGTACCTTGACATGATTGCGGCCTGGGAGCGAGGCGTGATCTAGGTGCGCTTGGTGTTCTCACGGCGGGCAAGGCAGTGATATATGAGCGTGAGGGCCTAATATAAGTCGTCTGCCGACAAGTCACCAACTAGGGGGGTCTCGTGGATAACCTTAAGGGTAGTATGCCTTTAGGGTAGGTAACGTTGGGTTTACGGTTACCCTCTAGTGGAGGCGCCGGCTATTAGTGAGGTATGCGGATTGGTTAGGCGAGAACTGGGGGAAATCTTGGTTGGGGCTGCGCAGCTAGGTGGACGGGCTCATGGTGAGAATCTGGATGGCGTGTATGGTAAGGGTGGCCTTTAGGTTAATCTTTATTTTTCTAGGGCTATTACCGGCAAGCATAGCGTTGGTAATAGGGAGGAAGACCGGCTTGGTAGCGCTAACTATAACCTCGCGAATAAGTTACAAGAGGGCCGAGTGGTCTATCACTAAGGCGACGGCCTTGGGCGGGCTGACATTCTTTTTAAGGCTAGGATACTTCGCTACTTGCTTGGCCAATTGGTAGCATTTAGCGACTTTCTGATAAAATTAGTGCTCTTGTCGGTGCTATCGTTTTCCTATGACGCTTTAGCGAGGCGGGTCTGGGCAATGAAATCGTCGTATTTGAACCTTTTCTGCAGGAGCACAAGCAGCGGTTAGGCAATAGCGGGGACTGGCGAGAGTTAGTTGAGCCAGCGGATGCCGAGGACGACGTGGACTGCGAGGGCGAGGGCGAAGAGGGCGAGGAAGACGGATTTTGCGGGCAGTGATGGACGGTATTGGTAGACGCTGGCTTCAACGAATCAACGGGGCATGTTGAGAGCGTGCAGTTGGCGTCGGGGCCGAAACTTATGCGCTTGTCTGGTAGATTGGAAGACGACATGGTCTGGTCACCTGGTGGCTTTAGTGGTTGCGGGTTTTCTTGATGCGTGCTATTCTTTGTCAAGTTGGAGTATCTGGAGGCTTTCCGTGAAATATATGATATATCCCGGTCCTGTTGCACTGTTGGAGAGGGCTATACGGGCACGCTTATAAGCTGGATATCGGGGGAACGGCCAAGGCGTTGTTGCTGCATCTTTATGCTCCACGACTCAACGGTCAGGCCCTACAGCTGTGCCGCGACATGCACTCGCAGACCCGTCACCAACATCAAGCAAAGCCTCGTCGTAATCCATCCAAACATGGTCGCTTTCGCTTGTAAGTTGTCACTCATGGCGAACCCTTGACGCTGCCCTGTCGAATCAAGTTCCCAAAAGAGTAATAGCCTTGCTCGCTTTCGCTTTCGCTTAACTATCAGAATGGGGAAACGTGTGGTCTCGGCAGCATATGACTGGCCATATTGGACGGGAAGGGTGGGTCTAGCGACAGTTGGACTCCACTATGGCAACGTGCTCGCTGATGACGACGCCACCAATCTCCACGAAGCCCCATGACAAGACGGGAACATGGAGTCGTCAGCTTACATGCATGCGTCTCGATATCGTTCCCGGTTGGCGGGTCCCCTCCGATCGAAGCTTTCCAGCCCTATGGATGCTCAGACAGGAGGCAGCCACCAAGCCTCGTTTCGGCTGTTGCTGTTGCTGACGAGTTTCCAACCGTGGGAGTCTACGTCAGGACGGACTAAGCCTCCACCATTTTGTTCTTGCTTTTGTTCGTTTAGTTCAAGGTTCTTTCTGCATTGAAAGGTGCGCGTCGGACGACGACGAGGGTTATAAATCCGGAGCATCATTTGCGCCGACTCGCGTTGTAGTGCGGGTCCGGTGTTTCTTGATGTCATTGCACGCGGATCTGACACGGTTCTGCCCCTAGTCAGGTGCGGCAGCTATTCATCTGGGGTCATTTCGACATGATTGCAGTAATCTTCTTCTTACATGGCAAATTCCATATGTGCAAATTATCGCTAATCAAAACGATCCAGCCCGCCATGACTGTAATGGATGGTAATATGAGGTCAAGAACCAAACTCTATGGTTCTGTCCTTAAACTTTCATGTCGTCCTTGAATCAAAACGCGAAAATAGTAAGCGCCAACATTACGCGGACTGCCAGAACTCAGTCTAGTTCTTGGGAATGGTAGTAAAAGGCGACACGGTGTACGTTTGAATGAGAGACATGTTTTTGCGAAAGCATGCGGATATACGCAGTTATCCTTGCAGGGTTCGGAGCAACAAATAGAGTACAGCAGCTGGCACAAGTAATGACAAAAACAGGCCTGCCGGGCTGCCATCTCTTGCATCTCTTGTTCCCACATAACCATGCGCAGAATAATAAATTAATGACAAGGCTACTATGAGAGATCAAAAATTTGGGTTCAACAGATACATCGAGACCGTCAAGTCATGCGTCACTTCCCCTTCTCTCCATTCAGGCCGTGCTGTAGTGATTGCCGAAGAATGCGACTGCAAGAGCTGTTGTCTGTGTTATTTTGCTTGCCGTTTTCTGGGAATAAATTGGGTCAATGTCACCCGCATTACGCACATGCGGCTGCAAACTGCCGAATCCTTGGCCACGTTGGGTTTGAGGAGATTTGCTGGGTGCTGATATGTGCCCTTCGAATGCCACTTATTAAAACGTTCGCACTGAGCTCCGGCTAGGGCGCCGGTCGGAACGATGTGTCCCGGAAGGACATGATGCAGATGTGTGATGTTACTAATAGTGACATATTTTCTTCATGTTTCAACCTCTTTGCGTTTGATTCATGCTTTTTTTGGCCGAATAAGCCCCAATTCCACTTGCTCGCTCGTTCTGCCAGCAGCCCCTGTCGTTATCGCAGAGTTGGAAGAAGTCCAGGAACTTGTTCGACTTACTTCCGAACCCAGCCACATTGGGTGTCTAGGACTGTCTGCTCCAGCGTCGGCGTTGGTCAGGGAAGAGTTACGCTATCAGCACCTTGATGGAAAACTCATCGAGGCTCTCGGCAAACGACATCTGGAAATGGTCCATTTCGAGAGCACAGGCCAAGGCCGTCACTGACTCACTGCATTGGCATCCATATTTGCTGGTGTCTGTAGGTAATTGCACCGGTCCCCCTCTCCTAGCAGTCCATGTCGCCGCATACTCATCCGATAGATGGTATTGCCGAGTTGGAGGCGTGATGATGGTCTTCACCATGGCAAAGGCGGCATGAGTCGGGATACCAAGAATGTTGGCTGTGTACGTGTAGCACTCGAAATGAGCATATTGCGTGCTCACATGAATGAATTTCATCCATGAGGCAATGCAACTCCAGCAGGCCCCGATGGTAAATACCAGATGATGAGATGACTTTCGCCGAGATGCCTGGGTGGCGGCTCAATGCAACACGGCAGGGGTCGAAATGGGTGAATGAGGGTTGATTCCACGGCCCTGGCCCCTTCAATGCAATCAGTTTCGCCGAAGGTGAACCTCAGCTTTCATAATATGGCTGACACTTTCCTGTTCCCTGAATCCCTGCAAGCTCGGGGCGGGCCAATCTCGGTTGAGAGATAAGTCAAGACTCGAGACTCAAGACGGAGAGGTGAGTCTTTGCAACATTGAAGATCCACCAACTGCTCCAGAAGTCCAGTCACGGGGCATCTAATTACCGCGTGTGCACCTTGATTTTAACCTTAGCCACCAGACGTATCCAAAGACTTAAATTTAGCCTGGGGTAGCGTCAACTCGTCTCCACCGCAACCCAGACGACTTGATCGACTTTACGCAAACAGGCAGGCCGACAACTCACACCTCGGACCTTATCAAGGCATTCGGTCTTGGCGACGTCCATTTCCCATGCGCAGCTGCCTTCTCGGTAGAGTGTAAAAACGGGTACCCGTAGGCACTCGTAGGTATTTAAGTTTTTCTTAGGTTATTTATAGGCTATTTATTTTATTATATAAGTAATTTAAGTATATTATAAGTAATTTAAGAAAAAGCTCTTAAAAGGTATAGCTATTTTATAAATTATTTTTAGTAATTATTTCTACTAATAATATTATATTTTATAAATAAAAGTAATAAACTTTAAGTATTCTTATATTATTTATTAGGCTTTTTTTTATAAACGTTAAAATATATTAAAAGATATTTATAGCTTTTAATAATAAATCTTAAAGTAACTTTTATATTAAAATATCTTAAGAATAGCTTAAGATTACCTTATTATTTAGCTAAGTATTATACTATTAAAGCGCTCTTAAAGTATTTATTATAATATTAACTACTACAATTAATACTATTTATTAATTAAAGTATTAATAGACTATTTTTCTATATTAATTTATAGTTATAAGAGTAGCTAATAGCTATTATTATTAAAAGACTACTTCTTAAACACTAATATTCTAATAATAATATAATAATAACACTTATATAAGCTATAAAAGGCGCTTAAATACTTAAATATACTTAGAACTCTTACAAATATAGTAAATACAAGTGTATTGTATATTGTATTTTATATTATATTATATTTTCGTGTATTATATTTAAATAC